GACAGAGCAAGACCCTGCCTCAGAAAAAAAAAAAAAAAAAAAAAAGGCCGGGCGCGGTGGCTCACGCCTGTAATCCCAGCACTTTGGGAGGACGAGGCGGGCGGATCACGAGGTCAGGAGATCGAGACCATCCTGGCTAACACGGTGAAACCCCGTCTCTACTAAAAATACAAAAAATTAGCCGGGCATGGTGGCGGGCGCCTGTAATCCCAGCCACTGGGAGGCTGAGGCAGGAGAATGGCATGAACCCAGGAGGCGGAGCTTGTAGTGAGCCCAGATCGCACCACTGCACTCCTGCCTGGGCAAAAGGGCGAGACTCCGTCTCAAAAAAAAAAAAAAAAGAAAGAAAGAAAGAAAGAAAAAGGAGCCGGGCGTGGTGGCTCAAGCCTGTAATCCCAGCACTTTGGGAGGCTGAGACGGGCGGATCACAAGGTCAGGAGATCGAGACCATCCTGGCTAACACGGTGAAACCCCGTCTCTACTAAAAAATACAAAAAACTAGCCGGGCGAGGCGGCGGGCACCTGTGGTCCCAGCTACTCCGGAGGCTGAGGCAGGAGAATGGTGTAAACCCGGGAGGCGGAGCTTGCAGTGAGCTGAGATCCGGCCACTGCACTCCAGCCTGGGCGACAGAGCCAGACTCAGTCTCAAAAAAAAAAAAAAAAAGAAAAAAAGAAAAAGGAAAAAAGTCTGTATGTGTCTCTGGTGATATATTTCATCTTCATGTCTATTTTGTCTTATATTAGTATAACCATTCCAGTTCTCTTTGGGGTACTGTTTGTATGGTATATCTTTTCTCATATTTTCACTTTCAACCTGTTTGTGTCTGTGAGTCTAAAGTGTGTAGATTGCGGCCAGGTGAGGTGGCTCACACCTGTAATCCCAGCACTTTGGGAGGCCGAGGCGGGCAGATAACCTGAGGTCAGGAGGTCAACACCACATAGTGGCTGGGCGAGGTGACTCACGCCTGTAATCCCAGCACTTTGGGAGGCCAAGGCGGTGGATCACCTGAGGTTGGGAGTTCGAGACCAACCTGGCCAACATGGTGAAACCCCATCTCTACTAAAAATACAAAAATTAGCCAGTCATAGTGGTGGGTGCCTGTAATCCCAGCTACTTGGGAGGCTGAGGCAGGAGGATCACTTGAACCCAGGAGTTAGAGGTTGTAGTGAGCCAAGACTGTGCCATTGCACTCCAGCCTGGGCAACAAGAGTGAAAGTCTGTCTCAAAAAAATAAATAAAATAAAAAATAAGGCGTTTAGAATGTAAAGAACATATAGTTGGATCTTGTTTATTTCTTAACCCACTCTGAAAATCTTGGCCTATTACTTGGAGTGTTCAATTCATTACCATTTAATAGTATTATTGATACAGTTAGAGTTACATATGCCACTGGTTTTTTTGTTTGTTTAGTTTTTGCTTTGTTTTGTTTGAGACAGTCTTGCTCTGTCACCCTGAATGGAGTGGAGTGGAGTGATGTCAGCTCACTGCAACCTCCGCCTTCTTGGTTCAAGAGATTCTCCTGCCTCAGGCTTCCCAGTAGCTGGGATTACAGAGGCCTGCCACCACGGCCGGCTAATTTCTTTCTTTTCTTTTCTTTTTCTTTTTTTTTTTGAGATGGAGTCTCACTCTGTCACCCAGGCTGGAGTGAGTTGGTGCAATCTTGGCTCACTGCAACCTCTGCCTCCCGTGTTCAAGCGATTCTCTTGTCTCAGCCTCCCAAGTAGCTGGGGTTACAGGCTCACGCCACCATACTCTGATAAATTTTGTACTTTTAGTAGAGACGGGGTTTCTACTAAATTAGCCCTACGCCCGGCTAATTTCTATATTTTTACAAAAATTATGTATTTCGTATGTATTTTTTTATTCCTCTGTTCTTCCGTTATTGCCTTTGTTGTGTTAAATGGATATTTTCCACTCTACCACTTTAATTTCGAATATATATATGAAATATATACCTCATGATCCACCCGCCTCGGCTTCCCAAAGTGCTGGGATTACAGGTGTGAGCCACTGTGCCCAGCCTACTTATTATTTTTATTAAGACGGAGTCTCACTCTGTTGCCCAGGCTGGAGTGCAATGGCGCAATCTCTGCTCACTGCAACCTTTACCTGCTAGGTTCAAGCGATTATCCTGCCTCAGCCTCCCAAGTAGCTAGGATTACAGGCACCCATCACCATGTCCAGCTAATTATTGCATTTTTAGTAGAGACAGGGTTTCACCATGTTGGTCAGGTTGGTCTCGAACTCCTGACCTCAGGTGATCTGCCCACCTCAGCCTCCCAAAGTGCTGGGATTATAGGCGTGAGCCACCGTGCCCAGTCTTTTTCTTTTTTTTTTAGACAGAGTCTCACTCTGTCACCCAGCTCACTGTAAGCTCCGCCTCCTAGGTTCACGCCATTCTCCTGCCTCAGCCTCCCCAGTAGCTGGGACGACAGGCGCCCGCCACCTCGCCCGGCTAATTTTTTGTATTTTTAGTAGAAACGGGGTTTCACCGTGTTAGCCAGGATGGTCTCGATCTCCTGACCTAGTGATCTGCCCGCCTCAGCCTCCCAAAGTGCTGGGATTACAGGCGTGAACCACCACGACTGGCCATGTTCTTGTTTCTTTGTATGTCTCATAATTTTTAAATTGATACTACTTTAGATAATATATTGTAGAATGGAAATTCCGGATTCGAACCCACTGGTTGGTGGTGGTTTTCGTTGGCTTAGTGACTTGCTCGGATGAATTCTGCAGGGTGTTTCCCCTGCAGGCTGTGTCTACAGATGTGTTTGTAAGTTAAAAAAAGAATTCTTTTCTATAACATTTAAGTCTGGCTTCCTAAGACTGGCCCCGGGATCAGTGTAGCATAATGGATAATTACTGGTTTGAATACTCTGCTTTCTCTTCAGATCATATAAATCTTTTGCCTTTTACAATTACTGGTTCGATATTGTGCTTAAACATTCTGAACCACTAGGGCCTCCAGCCTCTGCTGATGGTGCTGTGTGGGATGTGGGTGCATTTGGAATTCAGGCAGTTTACAATTTGGCCTTGGCTTTTACTTTTTGCTTGTATAAAGCCTCATGTTCAGCCAGGGCGGTGGACAGCTGGGGTCCTCGCCTGTCTTTCCATAGTGTGCACCCAGCCTTGTAGACCACCAGGGACACCTGGCCACCTCTGAAGACCACCGAGGCTGTTCTATTTGCGAATGCAGAAAATCTGAGGCAGGTCTCAGTTAATTTAGAAAGTTTATTTTGCCGAGGTTGAGGCCGTGCCCATGACACAGCCCCAGGAGGTCCCGACGTGTGCCCGAGGTGGTCGGAGCACAGCTTGGTTTTATACGTGTTAGGGAGACGTGAGACATCAATCATACATGTGAGATAAACACTGCAGCCAGCAGCGGTGGCTTACGCCTGTAATCCCAGCACTGTGGGAGGCCGAGGCGGGCGGATCACCTCATATCAGGAGTTCCAGACCAGCCTAGCCAACGTGGTGAAACCCCGTCTCTACTTAAAATACAAAAATTAGCTGGGTGTGTTGGTGGGTGCCTGTAATCCCAGCTATTTAGGAGGCTGAGGCAGGAGAATCGCTTGAACCCGGCAGGCAGAGGTTGCAATGAGCCAAGATCGCGCCACTGCACTCCAGCCTGGGTCAGAAAGCAAGCCTCCGTCTCAAAAAAAAAAAAAAAAAATTGATTCGGTCTGGAAAGGTGGGACAACTTAAAGCAAAAGCCATGGGGGAGGGAGCTTCCTGGGCACAGATAGGTGATACACAAACGGTTACAATGTTTTGAGTTTCTGATTAGCCTTCTTTTTTTCTTTTCCCTTTTGATCAGTCTTGCTCTGTCGCCAGGCTGGAGTGCAATGGCATGATCTCAGCTCACTGCAACCTCCACCTCCCGGGTTCAAGCGATTCTCCTGCCTCAGCCTCCCGAGTAGCTGGGACTACAGGCGCCCGCAACCACGCCTGGCTAGTTTTGCATTTTTACTAGAGACAGGGTTTCACCGTGTTAGCCAGGCTGGTCTTGAACTCCTGGTCTCAATGTGCACCACCGCACCCAACCTCCTGATGAGGCTTTTCAAAGGAGGCGGTCAGATGTGCATCTATCAGTGAGCAGAGGGTGACTCTGAACAGAGCGGGACGCAGGTTTGCCCTGAGCAGCTTCCAGCCTGAGCTTTCCTTAGTGATTCTGGGGGCCCAAGAGATTTTGGTTTCCCATGTTTTATGTACTGAATGTTCTGGTTCAACTTTCGACTTCGCTCTCAGATATGGAGAGCTCTGACAAGGCTTCCTTTTGCATCTGTCGGGTCTCAAATGCCTTCAGTTTAAAATAACCTTCACATCCACTCTGGGGTTCCGAGTGGGTCCCCACAGCTCGAAATCACCCAAGGAGGGTCCACGGGGTGGAGGAAAGTCGATGAAAGGTTGGCGGCTGCGGAAACCCAGGGCGGGCAAGGAGGGTCCCTGGAGGTTGATTTTCCGCAACGGATCGGCTTTCCGAGGCGGCAGGTGCGTGGGTTCGAGGCAGGGCTCTGGGGCCGCTTTAGGCGAGAACCGGATGAAGCCCTGAATTCGAACCCGGGGGTTGGGCAGCGCTGGGCCTCAGCGCCCACGGTCTACCCGCGGCCCGGGCCTTATGTGCGCCTCAGCGAGGCCCAATTTCCACACAGCCGGTGCCTCGTTTCCAGCGAGCTGTCGGTGAGTCCCGGCGAGTCCCGACCCCTCTCTAGCCACGGCCTGACGGGCACAGTGTTGACCTCGTCCTCTGACCTCCGACCCCGCGCCGCGACCTCTCGTCGCCGGTCCCCTCGGAGCCGGGCGCGGTTTCCAGGGAACGCGTTTCCCGCCGCACCGTGGGCCGCCCGGACCGCGCAGGACGGGGCACCTTCCGGTGGCGGCGCGGAGCCCTGGGCCCGGCTGCGGCCCGGCGGCGGCCCCGGCGCTGTGCGCGCGTTCGCGGCGGCCCGGGAGCGGCAGGGGCCCCGGGCGGCGGCGAGGCCGGAGCGGGGCGGGCCCGGGACACCGGCTCCCGGCGCCCTCGGAGCCAAAGGCGCGCGGCGAACACGGCGGGGCCCTCGCGCGGTGAGGACGCGTAGGCGTGTGGGCTCCTGTCACTTCACATCGCGAACGCTGGCCGCCGCGTGGCTCTGGCCGAGTCTCGCGAGGGGCGCCCCTGTGGCGTTTCGAGCCAGCCGGGCCGCCTGCGGAGAGGGAAGCTCTGCCCTTCCCCTGGCCTGGCGCGGAGCCAGTTCTCCCGGGAAGGGGCCGGGGGTCCTCGCAGGGCCCGGCCGCGGCGTGACCCTGCCGGGGTCCGAACTTCACCGCAGGGCGGCCTGATCAGGGCCAGGCCCGTGGGGACGCTGGCGCCACGGTGTCTTCCCCCTTCACGCCACTCCTACCAGGCCGACATCGAGTCTCGCTCCCCAGGGAGGGTCAAGGTCCAGGGGTCCAGCGGCTGCCCCGAGGTCCGCTAGGAGGTGGCGGCACTGGAGTGGCCTTTCTCCAGCCTGCACCGACCCCGCCTTGAGTGCCCCTGCGTGTGACCAACGGTGGAACCGGAGCGGCCTTAGAGACTGACCGCTGCCTCTGAGTTGAGTCTTAAGCCCCTCGTTGGGCCTGGCTGAGCCCCCGGTCTGCGCCTTCCCCCAGCCTGGAGACGATGCCAAAGCTGCAGGGCTTCGAGTTCTGGAGCCGCACCCTGCGTGGCGCCCGCCACGTGGTGGCCCCCATGGTGGACCAGAGCGAGCTGGCCTGGAGGCTGCTGAGCCGGCGCCACGGAGCCCAGCTCTGCTACACGCCCATGCTGCACGCCCAGGTCTTCGTCCGCGACGCCAACTACCGGAAGGAGAACCTGTACTGCGAGGTGTGCCCCGAGGACCGGCCCCTCATCGTGCAGGTGCGCGGGAGGGGCTGTGGCGGCGGCAGCGGTTGGGTCCCGGGCCCTGGAATGCCCGGGGAAAAACCCTTCCCTCTGTGGCGGACATCACTTCCAGCCTTTCCAGACAGCTCAGTTCCAGGAGGAGAGGGAGAAGGTGGCACCAGGCGTGTAGAGTCCACATGGCCACAGCAGTGGTTCCTGTGGTGGAGCCAGGGCTGCCAGGTGCACCTCCCAGAATCCAACCCTATTCTCTAGGAGCTGGCTGAGGCAGCTGGGGTGCTGTGAGGTTCGCAGCCCTGCTGGGGCCTCTGGATTGCTGCTTCTCACACTCACACTCCCTCTTCAGAGCGAGTAGAGATGGCTCTGCTCTTCAGAAGTCAGTGATTGTGGTTTCTGCCACAGTTCAGAAAATCTGTAAATCCGGGTGGTTTGGGGACTCCTCCTGGCTTTGTCATAGTGTAAGCCTTCGCAGGACAGGGCACCCTCCTGCGGTGAACCTGGGCCCACACCCTCCTGGGGTCACACTGGACCTCTCGTAGGGCTGGGCAGCAAGGGACTAGCGCCTGGCTGGGTGCAGCGCTGACTCCTGCGTCTTCTCCAGTTCTGTGCCAATGACCCGGAAGTGTTTGTTCAGGCGGCTCTCCTGGCTCAGGATTACTGTGACGCCATTGACCTGAACTTGGGCTGCCCACAGATGATAGCCAAGAGAGGTGAGCTCCATGTGGAGCATGGGGGCACCCGGGGCAGGGGCCAGAGCCAGCTCAGTGCAGCCCCAGGTGTGGTGAGCTTGGAGGATGGCAGGCCTTGCCTCTGTCGTGACTGACTCAGGCTGGAGCCAGCCGTCCTCTGTGCTCTGCCTCTGGAGGGTGGCTGTCCTCAGGCCTTCGGGGCTGGGGGCTGAGCCCTACTGGCTCTCCCTTCCCTCAGGGAGCTCCCTCTGCATAAACATGATTGCTGATACAGGGTCCCCGCCACCCCCTTGCACTGCTGTGTGTGGGGCTGAGCCTGTCTACCTCACTGGGCCCCTGAGGAGGTGTTACTTGGTCCCAGACCGTGGGGCGGTGGGGGTTCCATTCAGCACCTTCTGAGCTTAGGCAGCTGGGCAAATAGAGCCCCTGAATCTGATGCCGACAAACCACTGCTCTGACTGTCCCCCTGCCCCAACTAGAGACACTGCTGGTTCTGGGGACCTACGTCCGGCCTGGCAGGGCAGCTTCTGGCCTGCATGGACGGAGGAGAGGGTGCAGAGGGGGTGCAAGGCCTCGGCTCCACCAGCCTTAACACAGGTGCCAGCCAGGCCATGCTTGCTCTTTGCAGGTCACTATGGTGCCTTCCTGCAGGATGAGTGGGACCTGCTCCAAAGAATGAGTGAGTTGGCTGGGTGGGTGGTGAAGGACCCCCAGAGACCCTGGAGAGGGACACATGGGCACTGTCTACTTGGTTGGGGCTTAGGAGAGGACAGGCGTTGGCAGGAGCTCTCAGCATCACCCTGGGGCTTCCTGCTCAAAGCAGCCTCTCTGCTGGGAGGTGGTGGCTGTGAAGTTGCCTGTCCTGTGCCACCCACCCCTTAAAACCAGACAGTAGGTGCCAGGACAGAGTCCTTGCTCGGGCCCAGCCCCAGATGTCCTGGGAGATAAAGCTGGCCTCGGCCCTGCTTGTTTGAACTTGGGAGGGCTGGGGGAATGGCGGAGGGAGCCTGCCCATCAACCTGAGGGAGACACCCAGATGGTGGCCCAGGCTGCCTCCCAACCTCCCAGCAAAGCTGCCTGGACTCCGCTATCTGTGGGGCCCTGGGCTCTGGGGCTTGGCCGCTAAAGTGGGAACACCATGGCCCCCTCGGAAGCTGCCTTTCTTCTCCCCAGTTTTGCTGGCCCACGAGAAACTCTCTGTTCCTGTCACGTGCAAAATCCGTGTCTTCCCGGAGATTGACAAGACCGTGAGGTACGCCCAGATGCTGGAGAAGGCCGGTTGCCAGGTGAGCCCTGGTCTCGCGGGGGTGTCGTGGGCCTTGGCTGGGCCTTTGCGCAGAGGACACAGCTGAGGCTCTTCCTGTGTCCACTCAGACACTGTGCACTGTCGGCCTCATGGGGGCAGTGGCCCTCCTGACTGGCCTGCCCCCACTGACTCTGAGTGCCACCACCCCAAGCCCAGGCCTTCGCAACATAAACTGCTTTCCTGGCTCCAGAGTTTTGTCTCTGTGGATAGAGTAATGTCAGCATCTCTACCATGTTTCTAGTGTCACAGAGGCCGGCAGGGCCTCCTTTGGGGATACTCAGCATCCAGTCTCCCTAGAGGGTCAGGAAGGGGCCAACAGGCTGTCAGCAGAGCTGCTCCCCTGCCTGGGTCCCCTGCACACCGAGCCTGGCCTGGGGCAGGCCTGGATGGGCTGCTGTCTCCAGGGGTGCCCCTCAAGACACTCAACCTTCTGAAGGCAGACAGCAACCCTGGTGACCCAGGGATGAGCTTGCACAGGGGCTGCTGGGCCCAGGCCCCACTTTCCCCCTGTGCCCCACCAGCCTGGAGCTAGTCCCTCCACACCTTTGGCCTTGGGCAGTGGGGATGCTGCCACTTCCTGGCCTGACTCTTGCATGGGCCTGGGCAGCACATGCAGCCTGAGGCTCCCACAGAGTGCAGAGCCTTTGGGGCAGGCCCCAGATGGTCTTTCCTCAGCCCTGCTTCAGGAGCTGAGATGGTGAGGGAAAGGTCCCTGGAGTCGGGCATGGGGCACAGGGCTTGGAGGGGCAGAGGGGGCTCGGAGGGGTGGAGTGGGGGTGAAGGGGGCACGGACGGGCACAGGGGACTCTGAGGGGCGGAGGGGGCACAGAGGGGGCTCAGAGGGGTGGAGCGGAGGCAGAGGGGGCATGGAGGGGCGGAGGGGGCTCTGCGGGGTGGAGGGGGCTTGGAGGGGTGGAGGGGCCTGGAGGGGCGGAAGGGGCTCTGAGGGGTGGAGGGGCTTGGAGGGGTCAAGCGACGGCTGGTCTGTCCTAGTTGCTGACGGTGCACGGGCGCACCAAGGAGCAGAAAGGGCCCCTGTCAGGTGCAGCGTCCTGGGAGCACATCAAGGCCGTGCGGTGAGTGGGTGTGGGCGGTGGGTGGCACAGCCCTCAGTCCTTGGGGCTTTGCTAGAGGGTCCAAGCTCCACACCGCAGGGTGCTCGGCTCACCTGATGCCCATGACCACTGAGGGGGCTAGGGCCGTGGCTGGGGGCAGCATCGCCTGGGAGCAGAAGCTCCCTGCCAGGATGGAGTCAGGGCTGTCCGGGGCCTGGTGGTGTGCTGGGCAGGTGGAGGGACAGGTGTTTCTCTGTCAACAGGAAGGCTGTGGCCATCCCTGTGTTTGCTAATGGGAACATCCAGTGCCTGCAGGATGTGGAGCGCTGCCTCCGGGACACGGGTGTGCAGGGCGTCATGAGTGCAGGTGGGCAGGGCCCGGGACAGCAGCTGGGGCCCCATGCACAAGGCCTGATGCCACCACCCAGGTCGGTCCTTCCCAATGCCTACTGCCCTCCCCACCGCGCTGTTCGCAGATGGTGTTCATCAATCCCAGTCTGCTCTGAGGGGCCTGACCTGGCCTTGTCCCTTGTGAGGTGGCACAGGAGGGTGTCCTGAGTGTCCAAGTCTTTCCTATGCCATCCACCTGGAGCAGCCCTTGAGGCGTCCTTCCTCCCCTTCCTCCCACAGAGGGCAATCTGCACAACCCCGCTCTGTTTGAGGGCCGGAGCCCTGCAGTGTGGGAGCTGGCCGAGGAATACCTGGACATCGTGCGAGAGCACCCCTGCCCGCTGTCCTATGTCCGGGCCCACCTCTTCAAGCTGTGGCACCACACGTGAGTCGCCCCCTAAGGCGGAAGCCACGTTGGGGGGTTGCCCAGGCAGATACCGTCAGAGCCCACCTGGGGCATTTAGCAGGTTTTGTCAAAACAACTTGCTGCTAAGTCAGGTCTTGAGGGGCTGGGGTGACTTAGGAGTGGAGTTGGACGAGAAGAGACACAGGTCCCTGTGTGCCCAGTGCTCAGCCTGGGGCCTGATGGTGGAGCCGGGAGCCCAGCCTGCATGACGGGGCCTCTGTCTCAGGCTGCAGGTGTACCAGCAGCTGCGAGAGGAGCTGGCCAAGGTGAAGACCCTGGAGGGCATCGCTGCCGTGAGCCAGGAGCTGAAGCTGCGGTGTCAGGCAGGCGCTGGGGCTGGTGGGAGCCTGGCCTTGCGGGGGGTGAGGGCCAGGGGCCATGACCAGGGCCTTGGGCTTTTGCAGGAGGAGATATCCAGGCAGGAGGGAGCGAAGCCCACCGGCGACTTGCCCTTCCACTGGATCTGCCAGCCCTACATCCGGCCGGGGTGAGAGCCCAGCCAGCCCTGGGCAGTGATGTGCGCCAAGGTGTGGGCTCTACCCTGTGCCCACAGTGCTGCGCCTGTGCCGCTTGTCCTCAACCATTATGGCCAGTCAGCTCCTGCCCGAGGGAAAGGAGGAGGGAGGTTTCAGCTCCAAGCAGCACACACCTGCCATGTGCCCCTCGGTGTCCTAGGTGGCGGGTGCTGGTGACTCAGCTGTATCCTCCCTCAGTGGACACTGAGATTTTAAATCTTTTCTTCCATAAGATACTTCTCTGAGCTCCTCTGATCCTGGAGTTGCCCGTGGGTCAGTAGCTTGACCCCAGCTTCTGCTGGGTTCTCAGAGGTGAGGCCATCTGTGGCCACAGCCCTGCCTGGAGCTGGTGGCTCAGAGCTCAGGGCTGCCCGAGCTGTGGACTCCATCTCGGAGGCCCCAGACTCCCTAGTGGCCACTTCTGAGTGGGCTGCGCACTGCCCATGCTCCTCACAGCAACAGCACTCACCATGGCCGCCTGGCGCCTCCTCACCCTGGGGCCCCACCCGGGCTCAGGCCCGTGTGGCTGTGGCTGCTGGCCTCTCACGGTGTCCTTGGGCTCTGCCCGCTGTCCTCCCCTCAGGCCCAGGGAGGGGAGCAAGGAGAGGGCGGGTGCACGCAGCAAGCGGGCCCTGGAGGAGGAGGAGTGTGGCACGGAAGTCCTGTCCAAGAACAAGCAGAAGAAGCAGCTGAGGAACCCCCACAAGACCTTCGACCCCTCTCTGAAGCGTAAGTGCTGCTTCTGCTGATGGGCCCGAGAGAGCCTCTTCATCACCCCCATCCTCCCTGTTGCCAGTGACAGGAACCTATACTTGCGGTCAGCAAGGCTCAAGGCCCAGAGCTGGAAGCAGATGCCTGGGGGCCTTGGCAGAGTGGTCAGCCAGACTTGGGGCCTGAGCACAGGGAACCTGTGCAGGCCACAGCCCAGGCACGTGGGACATGGGCTCAGTGAGTCAGATGGGGCTGTGGGACAAGCCCCCCAGCCAGGTGCCACCCAGGTGGCCACCGAGGGGCTTGTCTACAGCTCAGGGCCTCGGGTCCCTGCAGCTGTCCCTGCCCAGCCTCACACAGGACACCTGAGAGGGAGGCTGGGGTCCCCGTGAGTGTGTGCTGGGCCAAAGGTGCCAGCAGGGTGGGCTGGGAGAGATGGGATGAGGCTGCTCACCCCTCTCCTCTTGGCCACCAGCGGCAAGGCCTCAGCCCAGTGCCGTCTCCCCTGAGACCCCTGTGCCGTATCCTGGGCCAGCTCATCTGGGCCCTCAGCAGGTGGCAGCCTCCCAGATTTCTCTGACAGCTTTACAAGCTGCAGGGAGGACCAGCGATGACCCTGAAACCTTCCCATGTAACCCCCAGGGCGCTGGCCAGTCCACAAGCAGCTGCCACGTCAGCCCGGTGCCAGCAGTCCCCGCCTGCCACACTGCCCCCTAGGCCACCGCATGAGGCAGCTGGGAGAGGCAGGAAGTCAGTTTTTGGGTTGAATTCTTGATTTGACCCTTCTTGGCCCTTTTGCTTGGGAGACCTGGAACTGAAGGGCATGGAACCCCCCTTGGACCCTGTGGGCGGGAAAACAACTCCCCTTGTCCCTGCCTGGGGGTGGGACAGATGAAGCTGCTTGTCCTGCTGGGGCCCCCCAGACCACCTGCTTCGTGTCCGTTTCCTGCAGGATGGTGCCCCCCACATCCCCTCACCCATTGCTCGCAGAAGGAAAAGCAGATGTGGCCAGCCTGTATCCTCTGCCCTCCCTGAGCCTCCTGGCCTGGCTGGCCACAGCTGGCACAGACGCTGTCAGCAGGCTCCATGCAGGTGGACGGGGCAGCCCCCACAGCCAGGCCACCCCGGCCCTCACTCACCAGCACCCTTTTGTTCTTTTCCTAGCAAAATATGCAAAGTGTGACCAGTGTGGAAACCCAAAGGTGAGTGGGTTCCAGCCACCAAGGCTTCAGCTCTGGTGGGTGGGCAGGGTGGTCTCCGCACTCGGGGTAGCAGGTCTGGTGCCTGCCCAGCTGGGTTTGCAGTGTGGCCCAAGGTGGCATGGATGCCTCAGGACGGCTCCTTGCTTCCAGCCAAGCCCCTGCCCAGGACTGGAGTGGGAATAAGTCTGGGTGGTTGGGTGACGGAGAGGCACCTGGCTTGGGGGCGGTCCCCAGGGCTACATCCAGGCCGTGGGCATCTGGCAGAGACTTTCCCAGCGGGGCTGCTCCCCTGCTGGCCAGCCTGGCCCCAGGAGTGGTGCTGGCCACAGGCTCCCGAGCTTTTCTGTGCCCAGGGCAACAGATGTGTGTTCAGCCTGTGCCGCGGCTGCTGCAAGAAGCGAGCCTCCAAAGAGACTGCGGACTGCCCAGGTGAGGGTGCCTGCCCCCCGCCCCGCAGCAGGCAAACAGGCCCCTCCGCCTCCTGACCCCCCGACTCCTCTCACTCGCTCTGCCAGGTCACGGATTGCTTTTTAAAACCAAACTGGAGAAGTCTCTGGCCTGGAAAGAGGCCCAGCCTGAGCTGCAGGAGCCTCAGCCGGCAGCACCCGGAACACCAGGTGGCTTCTCCGAAGTCATGGGCAGTGCCCTGGCCTGAAGGCCCAGAACCCCCACCCCCAGGACTGCTGCTGGAGCCTGGACACGTCCTACTTAAGGAAACGCCTTTTACTCAGGGAATCTCCTGCTACTTAATGTGGAAAGACACGCCCATGCCCCCCTTCGGCCCACTCTGGGGCCTGGAGATGCTGCAGTGGGGAGCAGGCCCCAGGCTGGACCTGCCCTGTCCTCAGCACGCGTGTGCAAAAGCGAACAATAAATCATTTCAAAGATGCAAGAGCCCACAGCCTGTGACCACCGCCCCCCAGACTCACGGAGGCACGAGCCGGGGCAGGTGCGGTTGGGGCTAGTGGGGGCTTCTGAACAACTGGATACGACTAAGTGAAGGCAGCGCATGGGCATCTGTGCAGAGGAAAGTGGGGGCTTAGGTCCCCTCCCCGCCTCCCCTAGGCGCCTCCATAGGCAAGTGGCCAGAGCCTCCGGGAGCTTCCTGATGCCGCACAGCCTTGGAAGCACAGCCTGCGGGCCACAGTGGCCGCTGCTGGGGGCTATTGAGCCCGCGGGCCAGGCTGCCCATTTGTCTCACCAGGCCCTGCCTCCAAGCCCAGCCCCAGGGAGACAGCCCTCAGGAATTCCTGCACAGCAGGAAAGAACAGCCAAGGGCAACACTCAGTCTGCTCTTTAATGGATACCGCCCACTTGTCTGCACCTGACCAAGGCGGGAACAGGAGGGGTCTGGGAAGTGGGGCCGCTGCGCCTGGGTGCCGCACAGTCTGCTCCCTGGGGACCGAAACCCACAGGGTCGAGCCCTGCAGGCCTCTCCTTCCGGGAAGGGCCACAACTAGCAGCCGCCTGCCTCCCCAGCCCCAGCAAGGGCATGCAGGCTGGGGGGCACCCAGTGGCCAGGCCTCTTAGCTGGGCTGCAGGCAGCACTGAGCCGCCTGGAGGTCAGGAGGTCCGTGGAGATCGGGAGGGGGTGCAGATGTCCTGGAGGCCACGGTCCACCCCTCACATGTTGGTGCTCATCCGAGACTGGCTGTTGGCTGGAGTCAGCTCCCCCTGGCTCCCTTCTCTGGGCGGGGACTGCAGGGGAGACAAGCAGCAGTTCAGCCACCAGGCCCCACGCGCTGTGCACCCACCCACTGACGCCTGCCCACCTTGACGTGGATCTGGTTGCGGAGCACAGCTGCCCGCAGCATCATGGCCTTGGCGCGGCGCTGGAACTCCTTGCCCATCAGCAGAGACTTCTCAAAGGTGGTGCTGCGCTGATCCACATCCCGGGCATAGAGGATCTGTGCAGGCACAGGCTCAGCGGGGCCCAGGCTCACCCCCAGCTGCCCCCACCACCCTGCAGCCCACAGCCACCTTGCTGTGCGAGTCCACGCGGGCACTGATCAGCCCCTCCAGGATTAGCTGTGTCAGCTCGTCCTCCAGGGCAGCCACTGTGGTGTTGAAGGCCGCCGCCATCCTATGCATGTCGGCTGACACGTAGGGACTGAAATACTGCAGGGCGGAGGGAAGTCAGCTCCACAGCCCCCTGTATGCCCACCTGCCGTGTGCCAGCCTGACCCCCACATTACCTGGATGAGGGCACGGTTGCGAATCTGGGTGTACAGGGTCCTGACGTGGGGAGCCAAATACATGTCCAGGAGCAGGTTGTCCTAGGGAAGGGGCTGGTGAGGACCAGGACAGGAGGCCAGGCAGAGCCCCACCTCAACCCCACCCCAGGCAGGACCCCACCTTCATCTCATCCAGCATCTTGAGGCATGAGGCGTACTTGGACTCGTAGAATTTGAAGATGATGTCTCGGACCTGCGGCTCCAGCTCCAAGAACAACTTGAAGGAGCTGGCGAGGCAGACCCCTCAGAGCTCTGTCCTCTGCCTGCCCCTCCCTCCAAGTGGCCAGTGGGACACCAGTCCCCAGACAAAACACCTGAGGAAACGGCAGGGCCAGGGGTCCGGGACGTGCAAGGCCAAAGCGGCAGCCGTGGAGAGGGACGGGGACTGCCGGACCAGGGCACCCACCTACTGGAGATGACGTTGCGCTGCAGCTCCTGCCGGTCAAAGGTAGCCAAGGCGCACAGGCCACCGTAGATGGCCACGTTGCTGGGGGACAGCAGCTGAGGAGCAGAGACCTGGTGTCACAGAGAGTGAAGGGCCAGGCCACCCCTGCCTGCCCATCACCCACTCAGAGAACGCCTAAGACCCCGTTTGTGAGAAACCTCACCCTCCTACAAAAGCAGCCCAACCCATGAACCCGTGCTCTGCCTCCCAAGTCCCCAAGAGGGCCCCTCACCTCAGGGAAGTCGCAGTGATCAAAGGAAGCCAGCAGGAGGCACTTGGCAGCCTGCTTGTACTTCCTGGCGGCCAGCTCCGCCAAACCTAGTGGAGGGAGCCGGGGGCAGCGGGGAGAGGGAGTGAGACCCAGAGCCTGGGGACCAGGGAGAACGCGACCACCAGCCGGCTTGCTGGCCTCTCCTGCCCCAGGAGCTGTTCCTCAGTGCTGGGCACAGATACCCTAATCATGCGTGGAAACAGCCCCGCCAGTGCCAAGCAGGTTCCCCGAAGCCAGGCGTGCAAGGAAGCTTTAGGTGCTAGCATGGCTGCAAAGGACACCCGGGCTCAGAGCAGCTCGGGCTGGCAGACCTGCCTCAGGCCCACAGTGACAGCAGCCAGACCCTGACCACACATCACCCACTGGCTTCCCCAGGGCAGACTTTAGGTGCCACCTACACCCGCACATGTGCCCCACAACATCCTGCGCCCTGCCAGGGAAGGTTTCCCTGGCTGAGGCAGGGACCAGCCTACTGCCCTGGGCTGGAAGAGCAACACACACTGAACGTGGGGCCAGCTGGGCATGACCCAGGCCCTCACCTGCGGCACACTTGAGCTTGGTGAGGATGGCCTGGGTCTGGCTGTCACGCTCTCCTCGCTGCTGTTGGGGGAAGCCACATGCGTGAGGCCCACGCCCCACATTTCCTGGAGCTCAATGCCCAGCCCCCAGAGAGGGGATGAAGGCAGATTCAGATTTGGGGGAGAATGAGGTGGGGGAGGATAGGAGGGGCCAGCAGTGGTCAGCAATCCTGGGGCAAGGTCTCTGAGGAGGTGGCCCGTACCTCAGCAATCTCCGGGGTAGACTCAGCCTTGCTGACATAGCTAAGCACATGAGACCAATTCTGTAAGTAGACGCTGACCTGGTGGACAAGGGGGCAGGGCCAAGTGAGCCTAGGGGCTCCGATGGCCCAGCCATGCTGCCCCCAGCCGAGGCAGGCCGACCTTGATGACGTTGAGGCACATGTTGATGACGTGCTTGGCGCTGGTGCAGTAGTCCCGGGCCCGGGAGTAGCACTTGAGGGCGTTGCTGAGGTCCCCACAGTCCAGGTAGTGGTCGCCCAGGTCGTCGTGGCCGCGCCGGATGCTCTCCTTGATGGAGTTGCCTTTGTAGTTCTTCAGGTCCGTGTCCAGCTTCTCCAGCTTCAGCAGGGCCTTCTTCCGCGTGGCCTCCACCCAGGCCGTGTCCAGGGGTGGGGGCTCCACGCCACTCTCAGGGATGGCGTCGGGTGCGTTCTGCAGCTCCCTGAGAGAGGACCTGGCCATCAGGATGGTGACGGTCACAGGGGCCAGGGAGGAGGGGAGGAAGCCGCCAACCTCAGGCTGCCCTCAAAGGCCCAACTGGCACACAGGTGGGCACCTCCCACTAGCCTCAAACCCCACCTCCAGGGACCAGTCTGCACCAGGGACACAGAGAGAACTGCTGCCCCCAGGAGCCTGCAGCCAGGTGGGGAAGCCAGCAGGGAGGCAGCCCCTGAGCCACAGTCTCCAACAGCTCCCCTTGGAATCAAATCCCTGCGTGCACACACACAGGGCACTTCTACTCCTGGCCAAGAGACAGCGAGAAATCTACCTGCCCAACTTCCCAGCACAGGGGTGGAAGTTGCAGGACACAGGAAGGGGGCCCAGCCCCAGGCACCTGTTCCCTTGGTGGCCTCTACTTCCTCTTACCAAGCCCCTGGCCTCACCTGGTGGCCTCTGAGAGCTTGCGGTGGATTTCCTCATACATGTCCACATTAAAGGTTCTCTGCACGAAGGACAGGGCCATCTTCAGGGCCTCCACCCGCAGCGTGGGGCAGTGATCAGCAATGAACTGCAGCCGTTCGATGCGCATCAGGCCGCTGTAACTGGCTGCATACTGCTCCAGATCCTGGGAGCGGGTGCACACCAGGGTCAGGCAGGGTGTGAGGCGGGACCCTGGCCCCAGGCCCTGAGGGTCAGGAGTCGGGGCCTGACTGTCCTAGCCAGAATGTCACCCTGGGCCCATAACCGGAACCGGGCATGGGGGCG